GAGACACTTATTGGGAGCACACATTTGCCACCTTACACCCATTCAAAATGAATGCACATAACATATCAGGTCAAGACTATTACATATGAAAATTTGGATTCAACCTTTGATACGAAAAGCTTCCTACCCTACACAAACTACACAGCCATTTTCCCTCAATCTACAAAGATAACAAATGCCCTAATTGCGGGATAATCAAAGACGCAACACACTCCTTCATATGTAGCAACAACATAGAAACATTAAAGAAGAACTTCTATAGGATACTAATCAAGAATGCATCATTACAAGTAAAAAAGGAACACAAGAAAACTTTCAAAGACACTATATACAGGCAGGTCCAGCTGGACAACCCTAGGAAGTTCAGGCTACTGATAAAAGGGGCAGTTCTAAAAGAAATTCCATGTGTACTTAAAACAATTTTAACAGACAGGAAAGCTGAAGTCAAGACCATCACAAACACAATAAAGGAATGAAAGGAACTACTATACGATATATGGAAAACAAGATGTGAGGCAATACAGAAGCAAAGAAAAGCACAAGGCATACAGGGAAGGAACAAATGGATAAAAATCAGAGCAGGAAAGTATAAGAAGCAAGCGAACCCAGTAGTGACACAACAATCCCTTTTAGATTTGACTAAAATAGTAAATAGCTACATCAACGGTTATATAAAGTATCAAACAAACATTTTTTCTCTCTTATCCTTTCATATGACAACTAGCATAGCCTCGGCATGTTAGTTTCTCTCCCTCAGGGGAAGGGCAACAGGCCATGAGGTAGAAAATAGCTTATCGGGTTTTACTATTACTGAATATACATCCCTGTACAATAGTCTTATCACTTTCTACATATGTAATTTGAAGAAAATAATAAAACGAGGCTGCACCAGTCAAAAAAAAATATATATATATATTTATTTTCACTTTCTCTTTTCTTGATTGAAAGATCTTTTTGTTAAAATCTCTATATTTTGTATTAGGTTGATACTTGTGTTTTCATGTTGTTGTAAACTAAAAGCTTTTTCCTTTCTATTTATCTCTTTTAAACATTTGAGAAGATCTTCTTCTTCCTTCAGATAGAATCTCAACTATTCATTTTCATTTATATATTTTTATAAAGAAGATAGTGCTTATTTTATAGCAATTTCAATATGCTACTCAAGTATGCCTTGATCTTTTCTTCATTATTCCCTGGAATATTGGTTATCATTGTCTCTACTTTGTATTTACCCTTTTTTTATGAAATAAAGATTTAGTATTGGTATTGCTTGCCTGTTTTTTGTTGTATAAGAGCTGCACTCACTTATATTATGGTCTTGAATTTTGCCTTTGAGAGTTTTTGCTTTATTTTCTCTTGTTCTTAAACTTTTACTATTGTTATTTCATTATCTAATATTGATCTACTTTCTATATTAGTAGTAATCTCTATTAGAATGGATAGTATTTTTGTTGATTTTTCTTTGATTATATCCAGGTATCTATCTTTTATATAAGGTTGAAGCATATCCTTTTCTTTTTCTTTTCTTCATGCCAAAGAAAGGTAATATATTGTATAAGTTTGTTCCTTATGGAATGTTATATCATCTATTCCTAGGATTTTAACAATAATGTTGTCTAGTATGGTACTTGTTTCTAAGGCATCTGCCATTATGATTAATTATATCTTTTTATTTGGTAATTTGTTATATAACCCATAGTTTATCTGTTTCATTATGCTTTTTGTTAATTGAACTAGCATATCAATAATATCATCTTCTCTATTGTTTATTATCTGAAGTATCTGTTTTGCTTTATTCATAATAGAATATATGTATAGATTGTTTATATTGTTGTGTTATATTATGAATAGTTACATGAGTGGATTAATATATATATTTCCTTAGTACTATTTTAGTAATTGTTGACAAACTTTTATATATAATGCTTGTTGTTTTTTAACTAATTCCTTGTTTTTGTATGTGTCTTAATCTTAGTTTGCTTAGGCATATGTCATTTCTCCCTTTTTGCTTAGGTTGTTTACCTGTTTACACTAACTTTGTTATGTTTTTACAGATCCTTGATATTATTTATGTTGATCACTTTTCATTATGATAGTTGTATATAATGATCTTATCAATTTAAGTTGCTCTTGTTATGCTGTCATAATAAACTTTTGTTAAACATATTTTGATAACAGCTTTATATATATGTATGTGTTTACGCTACTTTGGTAATATATTTTGATGTATGTAGAGATAGGATATGTATATTAGGCTGTTTAAACCTTGGAGAGCTTTAATATACTTCTGAGTTTTAAAGAATTTGAGATTTGCTTGATTTATCAAGTAAATCTATTTGCTTTAGGTTTCCTTGTAATGTCAAGAAAGATGTCAACTGGCTGGAAACTCTGCGAAGTTGATATTGGCTTCTCTTTTTTTTGATTATAAATCAGTTTATGTTAACCTATTTTCTTCTCTTTAGCAAAGAGAAGAGAGTCAAGGTTATGTTTTATATTGTATTTTTTTCTGTTTCACTAGACTAAGCTATGCATGAAGTATTGTTTTCTGTATTAGGATGTCTATTGTGTGTTAATGTTGTGAAAGAGTATGTGTCTTGAATTATGTGTATTGTCTTTTTCCTTGGGTATATTACCCCCAAAAAAAAATTTCTAAGGATTTAAGGGATTTGCGGAAAAAGTTTTTTTTTAAAAAACAAGTTTTAAAGAGTATTTTGATATATTATTTATTTATAATATATTATATTTATTATCAAATTCAAAACCCGCACAGGTACACATTTAACCTAGTTTGGGAACAAATAAATAATGGGTATACATGGAATACTTCATTCAAAGAATCACAAAAAAAAAGTTTTCTTGTTAAGATAATTAGTAATAAGTTATCTGCATTAACAAAGCTAGCCACAAGAAGACCAAACTTATATAAGCAAGTGAAATGTCTCACATGTGAATAGCAAGAAGAAACAATAGAACACTTGTTAAAATGTTTAGCATATAAAACTCAGTGGCAAGAAACTTAACAGAAGGGTATGGAAGATATGATGCAAAGTTTTAACAAATTTCTAATAGATAGGAAAAAAGAGTTAGAAGAAAAAGAGATAAGTCTAGCAGTTGATAACAGAATGGAAAGAGAACCAATAGATAAGAAAATAGCTCAATTGATGAAAAGAATCTTAAACACTAGTCAGGATATACTGAACTTCTACATAAGACTGATTGAAAAAGACCCAATTAATGAGATAGCAGACTTGAAATGCTATGGAAAAAGAATTGGTAAAGAAGCAAGAAAGTAAATAATAAAGATGCAAAAGAAAATATGTAATCACTTCAAAAAGAAAAATTTGAAACATTAAATGTAAGAAAGCAATGGAGTGGGAATGAATATTGAGAATCAATAGAAATGATAAGATCAAAAGGTTGATATATCTACAGAAACAAAAAAACAGGATCAAGATATCAGGAAATCAGTTATATCAAGTACAATTAAAGGAAGAAGAATTAGAAAATACAATGCTCAAACAGGTCCTGTAAGATGGAGTAAAGTATGGGATGAAATAGTTGGATTTTAATTTCTATTAGAAATTGAAAAAGTGATCTACAGTAATGATCTGCAGGTAATGATGTTAGAAGTTGGAAGGGTGTTTACTTGAACTTCTAATGGAGTGATAAATTACTTCCGAGTTGCACTTAGAAAGGTAAAACAATCAAGATGAGTGAGTTAGTTAAAGAATTAGCTTTAGCATCTCATGTTATATGTATAATTTATAAATATTTAATAAAGCATAAGTAACTAGCTTGATAGATGACAAATATATATACAGTATATATATATATTATATTTATATAGATATTATGAAATTTATTATTCATTTTATGCTAATGTGTTCTTTTAATATATTTTTTATTTGGTTTAATAGAATGATGGATTTGTGAAGTTAAAAATAAAGCATAATTTTTTTATGAATTTAAATAATGTTATTTATTAAACCTTTGCTTGATTTTTAATTTATATTATTGATATGAGTGAATATAAAGTGTAAAAATCAAAATTCTTTTGTAATTATTTCAATTTAAATATTGTAATTTGTTTTGTTAAATTTAATTTGCTGATTTTTGATAGCAGGTTTGAAGTGTAAAATTGGAACTTATCTTTCAAAGAAATTTATATTCAAATTTATTGAAAAGATAATGTTATTGAGGATAGATATAGAAGGTTCTGTTTTATATTTGCAATATTATTAACATTGGTATTATGATTAGTTGCAGGTGACTTCTGAAAGAATCGTGTTAGTGAAGAGATATTTTAAACCAATTTATTGATGATATATTTTGCTTGTTTATTTGTGATCTTTTTGAATTTCAAGAAATCAGTTGTTGACCTTTTATTTAATGAGATGTACTGTATGTGATGTTTTTTGTTGACTTTGAAAGAGTGTCCTATGCCTATGATTTTGATTGGAATGTTGGGGCCAAGACCATAAATGGTTTGATTGTTTATTGTAATTCTTTGAGTTTTGTCTTGTTGTGTGTTATTGATTAGCGGTGTAGGTTTCGAGGGATATGGTTGATGGTGAAGAATCCTTGTGAGGCGTCCACATTTTGCCCGCACGAAGCTTGCTTGTTTATATTTTTTACATGCTTGTGGCGGTAAATGCCATTTACTTTCTATTGTTTTTAATGTGAAGAAACACACACACACAAAAAAAAACTTCCCCAATTTATAACAATATCTATTATGTACGAATTAGTCGTCGCGGTGACAAGTTGCAAGTCTAATTTGCAATTTGAACGTGATTTTATGATGATTGTGAATGTTTATTAAGTGAAGTGATTGAATTTTTAGACGAATTGCTACAAAATAAATACAAAATAAAACAAATGGAATGATGTATAACACAATATGAATATATGCTGTGTGTGTAACAAATCTAGACAATGCAATGTTTCTCTTTCATTTTTTTTTTTTTTTTCCTTCCCTGATTATTATAATTCGTTAAAATTTAAATGCTAACACGCGATTGAATTCTCACTTGATTATTTGGTTTCACAATTACAAAGGGATATAACTTGGCCGGCAGATCATCCCATTCCACGTCTGGATACTTTTGGCCGTCTACTGAGAAGCCCACTTTCTTCAATTCCATATCCAAATGAACTGTCACCACTGTTCCTCTCTTAAATTCCACTGGCTCGGCCTCTGTTCCCGTCGTTGAGGGGTTGGCTTTAGATTTTTCATTCATCGCTATAGAAGAAATATTACCAAAAACCTTTTGCCCATGCACGAAGTTTCCGTTGTCTGTACATAGATACCATCCGTGCATCGGATTCCTGCCATAGGTTGACACGCAATCGTAATCTTCTGCACACACCCCTACACACACATATCCAGATAGCTTCTCTAATATGATATCCCATTCGTGAAATCCACTGGTGAGACAGTGATCGGCTCGGGCAGCCTGGGATTGAAAATATGTGTGCGAAGTGATCACGTATCCGTCATCTATAACTTGCAAATTACCACCAATGGCAGTGGTAGACCACTTGAGATCATAAGTTATGGTAGATCGCAGTGGTGTATAATTAGGTGTTGGGGAAGATAAGGAGTTTGTTTGTTTCTGAGAAAATAATGATGGACGACGAGGTGGATTTGAAAGAATGCAAGCTGAATCTTTGCGAACTGAGAATCGTTGTAAAGGAACAATGGTCGGTTCTGAGTTTTTACGAATAAAGAACCGTTGTACAACTTTCGGGCTCGAACCCTTCTGAATAGATGAAACGTGCGGAATATAAGGATCACCTTGCATTCCTGCGTGCGCGAAATCCCTGGTTATGTTACTACTTGACGAGCTGCGTGTATGATGACTGCTTATAGAGCTACGTATAGAACTCCCTGAAATTAAGGTGCTGGAAGCACTGGTTGACTGCAAACTCCTTGGAGAAATGTTAACAGGACTCTTCATCATCCCTCTGTATGGAAGTAACGACTTCTTTTCTCTCAAATGATATTTAAATGCTTCCATTATGACTGCACTTGGCATGACACCCAAGGGTTCGATCCAATCCGCCAGTATTCTACCGTTAATCCTCCTTAGGTCAATAAACTCCGCCAACGGGTTCAATGCCTTGTATATCGATGACGAATAATTTTCTCTTATCGTTCTTATGACTTCGATGTGTGGTGCCTTTTCTCTGTACTTGAACTTAGAGTCTCCTCCCTCATCCTTGTTCTCGTTCATGGCCTCTTCATCAGAAGCAAAGTAATTCCATTTAGGCAAATGACGTTCAAGTAGGGTGAATGCTTCGTATGACACATTTTTTGCGGAAATAAGAATAGAATACCGGAGCAAAGAATATTCACTTGAAGCGAATGTGATAGTAAAACGTTCGGCATCAAATGTGTGGGATAAAAGACACTGCAGTGCATTTAATGATAGTGCACCGACTTCAATTGAATCCAGTGAAATATTCGATACCACTTCCATCAATAAGCCTATTACCCTATTTTCCTTTATCAGAGATGATTTCCCATACGAATTTTTATCATCCACATCCGAGGACGATTTTATATGGGATAATAATTGCAAAGCTTTTGAAAGTAATTCCGGTATCTTCGACTCATTCTTACTATCCTCAACACACCGTCGAAGGTATCCCTCAATCTCCGTCGCCAATTGATCCAGCTGAAAGTACTCTGCCGCATAATACATTTCGATAGCGTTTCGCATATTCAACGCATCCATCGATATACTACCAGTATATAAATATTCAAGGATCTGTATCATGGAGGTGGAATTAATATCGGGAAATACAATGTATTTTTCATATATATCTTTCGTTGATGGATATTTTTCACGGTGATCTTTGGGAAAAGAGAAATTTCGCGGTGTGGGTGGGTGCGATGAGATGGCAGAGGAAGAGTAAAGAATTTGTTCCATGGTGTGGGAGCGAGCAGCAAGGAGTGAGCGTATTCCATGAAGTATCACTCCATCTTTGCAGAGAATTTCCAAGTCGCTGTAATGATGGTTGTTGACTAACAGGCGGAGGTCAGCGGAAAGAGATCTTCCACGGGTGACATTCGAATTTCCTACGCGTTGAGAAAAAGAAGACATTGCGGTTGTTGAATTACCTATGGATTAACGAATGTGATATCATTGATTTCTTACTATTGATGTTGTAGAACTCATCGAACGCGGGATCTTCATCGTCATTTCCTGTGCACAGATGACGGAGTCTTGATAAGTAAGTTGTGACATGGAAATTTCAAGCTAAACATTCGTTCTACATGAGCGAAGCTTAATATAGAAAAGAGTGAAATCTACTTGATTCATCGATCACGCTATCCAAAATTTGTGATAACACGTCCGCGCTACGATCGATAGATGAGTCCACTATGTCGAGTAAATGGGAACAGAATAAGCTCGGTGAATACTTTAATCATTTCTAAAATCAACCTTGGATATTCATTGAGGATTATTTAAGTTTGTTAAAATAATTACTCACTAGCCTTTTATATATTTCAAACGTTTCTACTTAATTTTCAGAAGAAAGTCTTCAAATAAAAATATAGAGGAGTTAGAAGACGAAGTGTTAAATATTAAATGCTATTAACATTGCATTCGTACTATAAACAGTGACCTTTTGGTTACATTAACCAAAACGGAACGTTTAATAAATGTTGCATTCAAGCCAAAACGAAAATTTACAATAGTTTATTATACAAATATGTATATAGGATGATCTCGGGATGTGCGAATGCTTACACGCATTTACCATTGATTGGTGAACTCATTAACGTACGCCTATACACATGTCTCGAGTTCGTTATGTCGAGCTCAAAATAATTGTTTCATAAATTTATTGTTTCTCGAAAATCTTGAAAAAAAGACGAATTCGAAGACGCACTGTATGCATATCATATAGGTACTAACGATAAAAGGATTAACTATTAGTAATAAAGTTATGTAGGTAAAATGATCGGCCGGCGGTTCGAGTAGTTTTATTGCGGCATCGCATCATGTGTACAGTAATAAGAATGTCGCCTGGTAATTTTTGTCAAAATGAAAAGATGGCTCAATTTGTGTCACACAGTTCATATCTTGCATTTCCGAATTTTCCTTTGTCTCGCAAACTATTAACCGATGTTCTTTTTCCTAATCCACAAAACCTTTTTTGAAATATCGCAAAGCAGATCTGCGGTCATGGCACGCATTCTATTAATGCTTTATTCTTTACGTTAATATCGAAAAAGACAATCACATAATAAATAAAAAATATAATAATTATTAGCTTGATTATTTTTTAGAAAAACAATATACTATACAGTATATATTGTATTATATCCCTTTTTTTTTTTTTTTTTGTTAACCTGAAATCATATTATCATGGCATATCTTTATTATTGCAATTATAATTCTTATACAACAACTAATTTATTATTAATAATTGAAAATTATACTACTTAAAACTAATAAAAATAAAGTTTCAACTAGATATTTTAAATTAAATTTAGAAAAGCGGTATTTTAATTTTTTCTTGATCTCTATATTTATTGTGAATCTCTAAGCTAAAGAATTATTATTATTACTTACAATTTTGTCACTATAAATTATCCCGAAATTAATAAATTGCTAAATTGAATTATAAAAATGGAAAAAAAAGATTAAAATATACAAGTATATTCAAATTCAAAAAAAAAAAAAACAATTTAAATCTTTTTCAAAAAATTCTTTATCATATCTTTAAATTTTTCTCAAAAGAATAACAAAACTTTTTAAAAACTATAAAAACTATAAAAATAAAAATTTTAAAGAAATATGGATGATTAATAAAAAAAAAATCATTTAACTATAACCAATATTTATAATAAGTTATATTAAAGATAAAAAAGATTTTTAATTATTTTATAATTGATTTTATTCTTTAAAGATTATTATTTAAACTTTTTTTTTATTGTTAAATATCAAATTTATAACTAAATATATTTATAAACAGGAAAAAAAAAACAATAACAGTTTTTTAAAATATCTTAAACAATTTTCTTATAAAAATTTTTACATACTTTCAAAAAATTTATATAATTAAGATAAAATTTGATTATTATTAAATTATTAATTAAAAAATAAAGAAAAATTTTTTGTTTATAATTTGTGCTAAATTAAAATACAAATTTATTAATTACTTTTTTTTTTATAATATTTATGATCAAGCTAATTATATTTTATTAATCAATAAAAAATAAATGTATATTATTATTTAAACAATATAATATATACTATAGCCAAACTTTTACAAAAGTCATTTAATAAATTCATTATAAACAATATATAATCTTTAAGTTTTATTTTGAAAACAATACTTTATTTTATAATAAATTTTAAATAACCACTTTTCTAGTTTATATATTATTATTAACATATTACTATTGCTATATATCTTGTTAAACTATTAAAATATAGAAGATTATATAAGAAATAAATTGAAAAAAAGAAATAAATATATCAAAAATATATAAATACACTTATAAAAAAATGAAATGCAAAAAGATAATAAAAATTTCTAGTTTTCTTTAAAAATTCATTATTTTGAATCTCTTTTTAAAAAGAAATATCCTAATAAATATTTTTTTTCTTTTAATTATTCAAAAAATTTACTTATTCTTAATATCAATTCTTCTTTTATATACTATCCAAAAAACTTATTATCTATAAGTTAATACAACTTTTGGTAAACAGTAATAGATAAAAATAGATAACTTTAATATTAATATAAACTTGAACAAAATTCTTCAAATATAAAAAATAACTGACAAATAATCAAAAGTAATAAAAAAAAAATCAACTTACTATATATATATAGAAATAACAACATAATCAAGATTTTTCCTTTAATCTCAGATTAGGATATAACTATAATAGAGTTAAACTTAAAATCAAAACTTTATTTATTTTTGAAAAAACTATTTACAAGAAAATAATATATTTTATAAAGATATTCAATTTATTTAAAAGTTTCTTCTTATTTAATATTAACATTTTAATAATAAAGATTACATTATTGTTATTTATAAAGATCAATAAGCAGTATATTATATAAGCAACTTTATCTTACTAGATATAAACAATCTCAAAATATTATATATGAAAAAAACTATATATAATCTTAATAAAAAATACAATTTTAGAATATAAGACATTTTTCTGAACACAAAATTTATAAAGATATAATAAACTTTTATCAAATTCAAACAAATTAACAATATCAAAATAATAATCAATCAGATGTAAAAATTCGTAACAATTATTTTTATTATCAAGGAAAACAAACTAATATTATTAGTTTGATAAAATATACTTATTAGAACATACTCAATAAAAATCTTTAATGTAGAATAGAATTTAAAACAAATAAAAACCAAGGTAAACATTTTTTCAAACTTATAAGTTTCACTTAATATAAATATATTTAACCTCAAACAAATTTGTCAAAAACAGAAATCAAGATATATTATATCTTTTATTATACAAATCTAGAAAGTTTATTATTTTCAACTTCAAAAATAAAATCTCTTAACAAAAAATACTCAACAAAACCTTTATTCTGAATAAACTAATTTTGGAATAAAAATTTATCAATACTAAGCTTTGTATCATCTGTAATAGCCTAAAACTTTTAATAATAAACTATAAAATAAAACAAGAAAAAAAAACAAGTCAATAAATTTAATGAACTATATTAATACTTTAGGTTAGCAGATTCAATATCTATTTAAAAATTAATATACCTTATACTAGTCAAAATTGTGTTATTCAGCTACCTAATTATTGCCAAATTTGGCAAAAATTAATAATAAAACGATTGCTAAATTATTTATGATTGCTACCACTCAACATTAAAAATATTGACAAAAAATTGACAAAAAATATCAGCATACTGCAAAAAAAAAATTCAGCACAAAATCTGACAATATTGTGACAAAAAAAAATTTTGCATACTATAGTAAAAAAAAAATTTTTGCATACTATAGTCAAAAATTTGGCAAAAAAATTGATAACGCGGCCAAAAATTCACCAAAAAAATTGATATTGTAGCAAAAAATTCAGTAAAAAAATTAATACTGTGGCAAAAAATTTGGCAAAAAAATTACTGCAAGAAAATAAAGTCCGAGTTTCAGGTGACTAACATTTTATATCTTTTATCAATATTATTTTGAATTTTGTATAGTAAAGGATTATAAAAGATTCTTCATATTAATGGTGAAATAGTTTCTCCTTGATCAATTTTATTTTCTGCTTTTATAGATTCTATAAGATTATCTTCAAATATAACTTTGAATTCTCTATCTTTGAAAAGGCTCATTATAATCTTTATAAAACCTTTAAAAGTCTTAATTCTTTCCATGGCCTTTACTAATATTTCCAGACTAATAGTATCATAAGCTTTAATTGTTTTTTAAAAAAGTATCTACAACTTCTTTTTATTTTTTTTGTGTATCTTCGCAAATATTATTGAGAATTTAAATTGGTTCTGCAATATTTTTTCCTAATAGTCCTACATAATTAGATCCTCTGAGCATACTATTAATCTTATAAATATTCTCTATTCTATGGATTAAAATCTTGATAAAATACTTTCTTGTAGCTTTCAGTAATACAATAGGTCTTGTATTCAATAATTTATATTCATATGACTTCAGCTTGACTATTGGATATATGTGACTTTGTTTTTAGGATATAAATATAATTTTTTATTTCAAAAAGTTATTAAATATTTTTTAGAGATATTTTTTTTCTTGGCTTAGCTCTTTTAATATTTTATACTGATTTGGGATTTTTTTAAAACCTTGTTATTAGGAAATATCTTAAATATTTTATTTAGTTCTTCTTAAGAAATTGATTTAAGAAGATTCTTATACTAGCTATATTAATATAGCTTCTGAAGTAATATTTTTTTTTCCAATCTTTTGTCAGATTATCAAAAATGGATTTTCTTTTTTTGAAGGTCTCTAAGTAATATTATCTTATTTTTTTTTGATTTTATGTTTCTTTGTTATTATATATTAATTATTATCTTGCTTGATTTTGACTCTATCTAGTATTATTTTATTCCTTTC